TCACTGAGAAATTCAGATATAAGACTGCCTCATTCCTTTTTTATGTTTTTCTCTCTGAATAATTTAACTAACTTTTATTTAAGTTCCAGTTAGTTAACCTACAGTGTAATATTAGTTTCAGCTGTACAATGTAGTGATTCAACACTTTCATACATCACCCGGTGCTCTTCACGACAGGAGCGCTCCTTCATCCCCATCACTTGTTCCCCCTCCCCCCTGCCCATCTCCCCTCTGGTGACCAGCAGTGTGTTCTCTGTAGTTCAGAGTCTGGTTCTTGGTTTGTCTCATCTTCTCCCTACCCATGTTCATTTGTTTCTTAAATTCCACATGAGTGAAATCATATAGTATTTGTCTTTTGCTGATTTTTCTTCACTTAGCATAATAGCTTCTCAGTCTGTCCATATTGTCATAAATGGCAAGAACTCATTCTTTTTTATGGCCGAGTAATACTCCATTACACATACACACACACACCCCACTTTTTTTTTTTTTTTAAGATTTTACTTATTCATTTGAGAGACAGAGAGAGCATGAGCGGAGGGAAAAGAGGGAGAAGCAGATCCCTGCTGAGCAAGGAGCCTGATGCGGGACTCCATCCCAGGACCCTGAGATCACGACCAGAGCCGAAGACAGACGCTTAACAATCTGAGCCCCCAGGCGTCCCAACCTCTTCTTTATCCTTTCAAAGATCAGTGGGCAGCTGGGCTGCTTCCATAATGTGGTTGTTGTAAATAATGCTGTTATAAACATCGGGGGGCATGTACCCCTTTGAGTAACTGTTACTGTATTTTTAGAGTAAATACCTAGTAGCATGATTGCTGGAAAGTAGGGGAGGTCTATTTTTAACTTTCTGAGGAAACTTCACACTGTCTTCCAGAGTGCAGACTGCCTCATTCCTTTATGCTTGAAGTTTAATTTGAATTTATAATTGCAAATCAATTTCATTGCTGTTGTAGAGACATTTTCTCAAATCACAATCAGTTTTGTTGGGGGGGGAAGGCAAGTGAACAATTTGTTGCTTTTGATTTAATCAGGATTGTTGGGAATAATGGTACTAATTTAAAGCTAATTTGCTTTATATCAGGAATGTAGTGTCTATATACTGAGTATATCAGCTTTTCCTAAAATGTATTCCACAGAATATTTTTTATTGAAATGCCCCCAAACATTCCATTAACAAATGGATCACAAACTTCAGGATGTGATATCCCAATATGAGCTACATTTTTTGAAGCTATAAAGTCTTTAAAAATGTTACAATTACTTCTGCTTCCAAAGATGAACATTCCACTTTTTCTGGGAATTAGTGAACACCTGTGCTTCCCTTTAATTACACAATTTGAAAAAAAAAAGTCTAGCTCTTAATTGTACTTATAGCTGGGTGCGGGGGGTGGGGGGGGATAGAGATGCATAAAGATCCCTGGAGGAAGAGCAGAGTCCTTTCCCTGAGGCTGGAGTGAGGGGCTGGTGTTGTTGCCTCTGGACGAGACAGCTGTACTCAGCACGAATAGAGGCGGCAAATGGATTTAACTACAAGAAAGAAACTCCAGTGAAACAAAGTACAGGAAACAGAAGTTAAAAGTTCTACGCAGAGAGTTTCAGCAGGATATTTCATCATAATATTAGCATAGGACTTGGTAAAAAGTAAAACACTAGAGAAATCTTGGAAATTTCTCACACGCACAGACCCCACATGAAACAACTCACACAAAGAAAGGATCAAAGAACAGGCTTGGCTGGAGATTCAAAAATAATGCCAATGAACTCTCCTCAAAAGCAGTGCCAAAGGACAAATAGCTTTTACAAACGGGGCGGGAATTAAAAGACAACCTTGGGATTGGTGGATGGGGGACTCTGTAAATTCTCTCACTAAAAAGCAATGATGATAAGACAGAATTGGCACAAACTACTATTTCAGAACTCTCAATGTTGATCAAACTCTACAATAACTTGGGAAGGCTTTCTTCAAGAAAAAGTACTTAATCTTGTAAGAATAGTGGGCATTGCGCCCTCCCCCTCCCCCTGCCCCAGCTGCACAGTGTGGTCGGTCCACCAGTGAAGAGCAGGTCATGCGGACGTTACTGCCTCACTTGGAGAAAACCCATGTCCATGGGCACCGCTCAAAATAATACCAATGTTTGGTGGGATTCAGGGCCACCTAATATTGCAGCTAGCCTGAGATTGTGATAATTTTGGGGGGCAAGCAGCAGACAGAAGTCCTGTCCAGAATTAAGTAGGAAGAGTGGCTTTGAGAAGCTCCTACATACCGCTGAGGGTCTGGAAAGCAGAGAACATGCACCAGGCTGCACACGTCCCTGGTTTCATGTGATGCCTCAAGCGCAGGAAAATAAAAGCCAGAGTAGACTGGAAAACTGCTTGAATGTTGAATGTATTCTTCAACCCGAACACAGACTGACCAGGGGGGGCTGGAATATTTACTGGCTGATGCTGCTTTAGCACAAACTGTGGCCCCATCACTGTTGACCACTAGGTTGGCTTGACCCAGGGGTGGCCACTTCGACATCAGACTTAAAAATAAAAACAGGAATTAAAAAAAAAAAAACAACTGAACAGGGACTTCAGTGGCCACACACTGTGGGGACACAATCTAGAGACAGTCCAGGCAAGTCACCAAACAGGAAAACACCACCAACCAGGTATCTCGTGGGTGGGAAGAATCCAGAGTTGCTGCGATGTTATTCAGGGTCCAGTTTTAAACAACAGATTATGAGACAAGCAAAGAAACAAGAGTGCTCCAGGGAAAAGGCAGAAAACAATAAACAGCCTCTGAATTCCCCTGCTGTTAAGCTTAGTAAAAACTTCGAAGCAGATAGAATAAGTGTATTCAAAGAACTAAAGGACATTCTTAAGAATTATACAAAAATAATATTACAAGGAACCCTCAAATAGGGGATATCAGCACAGGAAGATATTATTGTAAAGAGGTTTAAATAGAAATTCTGGAGTTGAAAAGAGAAATAACCTAAATGCAAAAATTCACTAGATGGGCTTTATAGAAGATCTGAGCAGACGGAAGAACAAACCCATGAACTTGAAGATAGATCAGTAGAGATCACGTAACTGAACAATACAGAGAAAAATGAACAGAAACATGGGCACCATTAAGGACACCAACACACACAGCAGCGGTCTTAGAAGGAGAGAAAATTTAGTTCAGTGAAAAAAATTAAGTGATAGCTGAAAACTTCTGAAATCTAATGAAAAACACTGATCTATACATCCATAAAGCTCAGTGAAATCCAAATAGGATAAACACAGAGACCTAGAAAACCTGAACGTTTTCAGCCAGCAAGGCTCAAGTGCCAAGCACAGAACATCCTTATCAATGTGAGCAGCACGCACATACATTTGAAATACATTTTCCAGACTGCATGCTAGGCCAGAAAAGAAACCCAACATATTTAAAAGGATTGCAAACATACAGAGTGAATTCTTTAACTACAATGGATTTATGGATTAGAAAACTCAGTACTGTTAAGATGGCAATTCTTCTCAAACAGATCTTTAGATTCTGAGTGACATAAATTGAGGACCAGTAGCTAAAATAAATTAGTTCTTTTATTTGTCTCATATAACGGTAACTCTGGAAGTGAGGAGTTCAGCATTGTATGGCCGCTCCGTGACGTCAGCAGGAACCATTCTCTCTGTCTTTGCTTTTGGAAAAGCCTTGGTGTCTGATAGGATTTCATGATTTCACGATGCAGTTGCTTTATAATTATCATCTTTGCAGTCCATAAAGGAAGGACGGGAGAGATCAAGAGCAAATGTGTAAGCCTTCTGACTCAGCCTCCTCTTGAAGTAGTTCTCCCAGGAGCCCTGTTCAGGGACTACCATTTGCTTCTCGTTGGCCGAAACCACGTGGCACGGCTATTCCGGCCACCCAGGGGGGCTGGGAAGGGTAGTTCCTAGACAAGCACATTGCCAACCAGAGTGTAACTGCATTCTGTTCTTTAGACAGGGAGGGGGGAGAATAACTATTAGGTGGGAAAACAACACGTGTGGTACAACATATATTTAATTCAGCCTGAACTGTATCATCAAGTCAGGACTATCAGCTAATGTGAGTCATACCATAAATGCTGAAAGCCAAAATAGTTCCTTTTAGGACAAAATTAATCCACTGGCATTGCATTAATGGAACATGGAAATTACTGTTTTTTTTCTTTCTGTTGTTTAGATGAAATACTTGGTTCATTTCCAGTTTTAGAAGGTGGGTCTTGGAATGCTTCAAATTGCCCAATTTTAAATTAATTCTGCTTTAGTAACACTTCAAAAAAATGAATATAAATCAGAACAAACCCTCTAGGGTGTAGCAAGTTTCAAATTTTCTTTACAAAAACAGCAATGCACCAGTAATCACAGAGCAATAAAGAAAAATTAGAGAAGTATATCACAAGGGAAGAAATAATGGAAAACCATTAGAGACTCAAAGAGCGGAAAGGTGCCAAGAGAAGATGAATGGCTCCACAAATTTTATCACAGTTTTCCAAGAAATTACAATAAATCCACCAGGTAGGGAAACCATTTAGTGAAATTATTGATATAGACCAATTATGCCTCACCAGAAATGAGATGATCATTTCCCTCTTACTGAATCCAAAGAAAGCTGTAGGATTATAGCTGACCCATGAAAGCTGAATGGTGATTATAAAATATTCTACAGAACGGGGTAATGAGTCTAAGATTACACACAATGAAGCAAAACTTTATCGACATTGTCGCTTTAGGAAACGCTAGTCACCATGACCACAGACATTTTCTGTGCTCTATTTCAGTAAGAGCAGTTGACAGAGTGATAAATTGCTTCTTCCAGATTCTCATGGGTAGGTTTTGGGGGAGAAAAATGACCAGTGTGGCTAACATTTAGAGAGATGTAATTGGACAATTTGTAGGGTGTCATCAGAAACTCTTGTGGTAAAGAAAAAGGGATGCAGACCAGGTGGACTTCTTAGGCATGATTGCTTTTTCTGTGTTTCTAGAAAGATTCCCAAATGAAACCCTGATGAGTGGACCCCATCTGGGGATGAAGACTACCATCAGTGAACTCAGAGGGCTGCCCCGGGAGGTCAAGGTGCCAGACTCTACAGCTACAGGACAGAGGATGCACGTCTGCCTCCCCATCGAGCCAAGCCGGTCTCCGACTCTGCTCCCTATGCCGGAGTGTGGTTCCTTCAACATGTGGCTAGCTGGAAAGATGAACAGAAGTGACATGTGTTGATGTAGAATTTCTGAGAGGAAGGATTTTATTGCCAGTGGGAAGCCTGCCTCATTCTTCTTTTGCTGAGGAGACTGGAGGCTGGGTCTCTCTCAGCTGGTCCCTGGATGACCCTGTGAGCAGAGCTCCTCTCCTCACCCACAGTGACCAGGAAATGGAGTGTGTTTGTTACATAGACTCCTAGCCTGTCCTGACTGATACACTTCATAGCAAATGATTTAAATTGCTTAACATACTGTTCACCATCCATAATCTCTTTGTTTACTTATTCTTTGTTGTCTGCTCTTGAAATGTGATGTCTATGTGGGCAGAAACCTTCTCCCTCTTGTTCACTAATAAATTCTTCAGAACCTAACCTATTATCTGGAAAATAGTAAATGTTCAGTCAATATTTGTTCAATTAATAAGCACAGTCTTTAAATAAGAAAGATCTTTTTAGACAAGGAACTAACCTTTCTTAGGTACATACCTACATCCACATTTCTAGCCCTTATTAGCTGTGTAACCTGGGGGGAAATTACTTCACCTTTTGTACTTAATGCTGGAGTTCATTTGTAAAAATTGGGATAAGCATATAACTGTCTCATAAGGTTGTCATGAGTACTAAATGGGTAATACAAGTAGAATGATGAAGCATATACTAAAAGTAATACAAAATAGACATCGAGCAGTACGCTTGAATGACTAATTCTATGTTCTGTTTTTCGGTCCCAGATGATCTTGTGGAGCTACTGGTGGACTAGAGCTGGACCATTAGGCCTGCCCTGTCTCTCTCCCCTCAAATTTCATTTAAGAATACACTTTTCCTTGTTTATGCCACGGGAGTATTATAACTAGCAGGTAAGTTAAGTTTCTGATACACTCCTGTTATATGTTGATAGTCTTTCTTCCTCAATCGGGAGTCTATTTGTAGATGTTCACGGTGGAAATCTTTACAGTAACACCATGTTCACTTTTGTGCCAAACTCTCAGTTGAATCAGATGGCAATTTATCAGATGGTGATGAGTAATGTCAACCTAGACTTCTTAGTGTATTCTTAATTTCCTTAATTCTGTAAGTGTTTGCTGAGAAATGATTCAATAATTTGCTCAGTGCTCTACATAAGCACTGGAGATCACCATCCCAAACTTGGCCCAATCCTTGAGGAGGTGAGAACCTAGAGACAAAGAAGGGCACCCAGTGCACAGTTGCGTGAGGTCACTAACATGACAGGTGGACTGTGGAAGGAGCCGTGGTAACACACATAAGCAAAGTGCCCGCGCTGATGGCCTGGAGCCTGCGGCGGATTAGACAGGAGATTAGAAAGGAGGCAGCGCTTGGACATCCTGTCAGAGGGGACGGGCGTCAAGGACACAGTGACGAGGAAGGAGTTCAGGGGGGCCAGGCGAGGTGAGGACAGTTACGGTGAGGACGTGGGCTCTCGGTCTGGTCAAGGTGAAGCCACTGAGAGATTGCACAGAGGGAAGGCAAGAAGCGATTTGATCAAATTTGCATTTCTGAAAGGCCAGTTTCACGGCAATGAAGAGGAAAGATGAGAAGTGGTTAGTGGTGGGGACTCCAGTGTAGAAATAATGGCAAGAATCCAAGAGCCGGAGGAGGAAGGGCCCCCAGGGAAGGAATCAGAGGTAGGAGTTGAGCGGAGGGGAAGGACTGAGAACTCTGCGGGAGGTGGCATGGTCCGGGCTCCCTGAAAGAGGTGATGTTTCGGAGAGATGAAGAGAATAACAGCGGGGGTTCTTGCTGGGGGTAAATGGTGCTGTTTCCCAAGATGCAGGAGAAAGTAGGCATCGCTCAAATGGACGGGACTTGGGGGGGGAGGGTTGGCTCTGGAATACGGTGTCTTGTCTCAAAACAGAAAATGAAGCAAACCACTGATTGCCGTACCTCCCTTCCTATTTATTTAGTGTTCTCTAGGTGTTCCTTAGTGATTTAAAATGGAAAACTTGGACAAAGGCCAAGTGTAGGTTAATATCCGCTGCAGGGAGGAATGATGAATTCCTTCACGAACGGTGGTTTACAAGTCAAACAAGCAAGGTGACTGTTAGCAGAGACTGTGGTTTATTTCAGGATGGCAGGGTCTATCACCCGGTTAAATTGCGTTTGTGTTCTGTGAGTCTTTCATTTTTCCCTGGAGGAAGAAAAGTTCTGCCTTCATTTTCCACTGGCAACTTAGGAAGAAAACTTAGAGCAGTACTTCAATTAAAACTTGAAGTTAAACGTAAACAGCAGATTAAAGGATTTATTAGTTACCATTTAAAGCTTTGGTTACTAGCCAGAATGCGGGATTTAGTAATCCAAGGGGCTGCTTGATTTGATGGATTTTTACAATTGTTTGTAGGTAGAGAAGCTTCCACGCAGAGCTTTTGAGGTGCCTCACCTGCTGGGGGCTGTTTCTGGAGTCTGGGGGAGGGCCTCTTACCTATGCATATGTGAGAAAAATAGGTGGTCTCCCTAACACACTTCTAAATTCTTGGGTAGGGAAGAAGCAAATGGATACAGGTCTTTGAAAGCACCTGCGAGAAGTGTATTGAAGACTCCCAAATCCTTTACCGCTGAAATGTTTGAAATTCATGTGAAGAGAAACTCGTGGTTGAGTTTAGACGCGCCTGTTGAGGAGGCAGGGCAATCGCGGAGCTGTGCGCCTAGCGCTTTCTCGGCCCCTCTAGACCCAGCTCGCCTGGGTTTCCTCAGGCCAGGGGAACCCCCCTGCATCTGATGGCTAAGTCTGCAGCTCAAGACCTCGGTTTAGTGAGACCACGGTAGAGCCGGAGCCTGAGGAGGCAGTCCCTCACGCCTTGGTCCTTGCTTGGGCTGAGTGTCTCCCTTACATCTGCTGTAGCTCCCACCTGAGGACCACTGATGCCCAGTGCAGCCACCTTCCCTTCCAGGCTTACCAGCCAGCACCATTGCCTACTTTCCACGTGTGCCCCTGGAACCCCTTGTACATCCCAGAGGGTTTAGGGAGATGCAACTGTATACCTCTGTTTTGTTCTGCTCTGACTACTGAGCAAGGTCGGAATCCTCAAAGTCCTGCTCTTGCCAGTCTCCCTGCATTCCTCGGGGATCTCGTTTAATGGCACCACGGCTTTAAATGTTACCCATACACTAAGGGCGCCTAATTCTGTATCGACACCCCAGACCTTTCCCCTGGACTGTAGACTTGAACCCAACTACCTCCTCAACACCTCCACGTAGGCATCTGGTACACCTTTCAAACCTACCTGTCTACACTGGAACCCTCCTCCCTCTTCCCCTCAAACCTGCTCCTTCCTCTGTCTTCTTCAATGCAATGAACAGCACCTTCACTCTGCCAGATTCCAAAGCACATGGTAGCATTACCTGTGACTCCCTCGTGTCCCACACCCACTGAAAAATCCACTTGGCCCTCTCTTCAGAACATGTCCAGACTCTGTGCTTCCTAACGCCCTTCCCGGTAGGACCGTGGGCCATGACACTGTCCCCTTTCTCCTGGATCGGCTTTCAAAAATACAATTCCTACCATGTCCTTCTGTTCAAATGTTTCCAGGGGTATCTGCTGTTTCCTATGCCGGACGCCCGCCTCCCCCAGATACCCACGGGGCTTTTTTCCTTCACTTCCTCTTGGTATCTCCTTAAATAGCACCTTCTGGTCAGGCTTTCCCTTCATCATTTTAATGATCAAGTTTTTACTATTCTTGAGATAGAGTTGAAATACAGCACTGTATACGTTTAAGGGGTACAGTGTAATGATTTGACCCACACATGTTGCAAAGTGATTATTGGGGTTTAGTTCCTATCCATCTCATACAGATAGATAGCAAAAAAAAAAAAAAGGTTTTTTCCTTGTGGTGAGGACCCTTGGGAGTCTACTTCCAACCTCACACACACTCTACAGCCGTGTGAGCCAGAGTCCCGTCACATCCCCAGTCCTTATCATTCCTGGAGCCGTGAATGATCTTCGACACCTTCATCCAGTTTCCCCACCCCCACCTCCTGCTGCTGGTAACAAGTCTAAGCTCTCTTTCCAGGAGTTTTGTTTTAGATTCCACGTAGAAGTGAGCTCATACAGTATTTGTCCACATCTGACTTATTTCACTTCATGTAAAGCCCTCGAGGTCCATCCATGTGGTCACAAACGGCAAGATTTCCTTCTTCTTAATGGCTGAGCAATATTTTTAATGATCTTAAAATGGCAACTTCTCCCTCCTCCCAGCACCTGACATTCTTTGCCCCATTTAACTGCTTTCCCTCTTCTAGTGGCCCTCATCTTCATGGGTCTCCGTGTTTATTCATCCGTCATCTTTCCCCTCATGAAGGCAGGTGGTCTAAGAGCCGGAGCTCCTAGTGACTTTGTCCTCAGCTGGCTCATCACACCTGCACATAGCGAGTGCATAGCGGGTTTGGGGGGAGACATGGTCTCTGTTGTATTGTTCACATCCTAACCCAAGGCTGAGAATTCTCCCAGGTTCACTTCTGCTCCAACCCCTCTCCTGGGGCTCTGGGTGTGGTCGCTGCACAGAGCTGTCTGCGGTCTGCCCGGGCGCTCTCGAAGCCCATCTTCCTCCCGGGACCTCACGGGCTACGGCTTGCTTACCATCTAAGTCAAGTGCAAAGTAGGACGATACGTATACACTGCCAATTCCAAGGTGTATGAAATTTGGCATTGAAGATTTGACTGTAAACTCAGTTCAGGACAATTCCCAGAACTGCTTCTACAAACACACCCAGCCGTGCCCAGCATCGAAGAGGACATGGTTGGGGAGATGCTGGCGGACATTTAGCTAGAGAGGTGGCAGATAATGATCATACCACGAGCAGTTGTGTGAAAATCTAGCATTTATTGCGTGCTGACTGATTGATTGTGCCAAAATCTACATATACCCCCTTCCCAATGGCCCTAGAAGGTAGTTATTACCCTGTCTCACACATGAGGAACCCAGGGCTCGAATCGTTACTACCTGGATCAGAAGTCTGAGGTTTAATAAGGGCTAAGCTGGGATTGCGGGCTGGTTTTTCCCAGGAAGCCGCGCCGCATTCCCCGTTGTCCCTCCCAGGAGGCTGGCAGGCTGCTTCTCAAAGTATCCGCAGCGCCTTTTGACAATGATCTCAGAAGCCTTGCGAGGACACCTAGCCGGACAGCTTCTTAGGTTGTACCACAGCCTGAGGGGCCAACTGCGCTGTTCCCTCCGGTGCTCGCGCCTTCCCGGCCTTTCTCGGCGTCCTGCCGGGTCTCTCAGAGGCCTCCCAGGACGGCCATCCATCCGCGCGGCGCTGGTCCGCCGTGACTTAGCCCTGTTAGCTCAAGCTGCATTGTGTTGCTTCTCTGAAGGCACCTAAGCCCTTTCTCTTTGACTGGGGGGCCCTTCCC